GTTTAGGAATTATAAAGGAACTGCATCCAGATATGGTCGCTACATATTCAGGAAGGTTGTGGCTACTGTGGCAAAATTTTCTCATTCTTTCTGTTGAGACTAATGCATTGTATGAAAATGTAGAAGATGCAGATTAAAAGTTAAGACTGTAATTCATTTCATCTTGTGTAGTGCTCAAGTATTCGAAGGCCACCCATTTATTGTGGAAGCTGGAGTTAGTGTGGGTGGCAAAGATGTTAAACAGGTGAGTTTTCTTTGTTTCTTGTGCTTAATCTGTAGTACACTTTACAGTAACCAACGTTTTTCAAAGAAAAATGGGGAGAGAGAGAGAGGGGGGGAGAGGGATAGGGAGAGGGTCTGGAAGCTTTGTATGAGAAACTCTAGTGAAAAAAAGACCAATGAATAGGTGCCCTACCAACCATGAGATCTCAACTCATGCTTGGAATCATGTTATGTCTTCCGCATTGTGTAATATGTTTAACCACACATTCCAATGGATTCACAAGTGCAATTCACTTATCCACCACTCATTTACATCTATTTATAAATTAAAATTCTTGCCAAATGGAGTATAAACGAAAACCATTTGTTTTACGTCAGATTACGTTTGCTGATCTGGTCAAACTAGTTGAAGGATTGATATCGTAAATTTATCTCAGAAAGTGCTTATACAATAATCTTATGTTCTTCACTCTATTTTTTCGTTCTTGAAGTTTTGAAGATTGTATGGATAATCAGTCATTATATTAGAATTTACAGAAAAAGAATGCACAGTGAATTAAATTTATTTCTTGTGTACCTATTGTACATATCTTATGTATGATGATTTTTGTCCCCACATATTGCACGAGTATATAGTTAGACCTTAATTTGCCCCTTGCACAACCACCATCAAGAATAAGGTCATATCCATAAACCTCAACAATATGCTTCATTTTCTCCTTTGAAAATAGAGCATCATAGACTTTTTCAATGGCGAGACACGACTATATAAGATCATACCTTTAAACAACAAATATGAAGCGGGCAAAAAATGAAACAAAATCAATCCTATATAAGTGAGCACTGCTCGCCTCCTAATCTGCTACAACGAAAATCTTGTACTGCAATCCAATAGCGGAATATCAAACTTCATGGTTGCCATCCAAAAACCTATATCTCCCTATGAATTATGTCTGAAATCTGATACCATTTGTTATAATCCGAACCTGATCTGAAGCTAGTTTGCTACGAAAAGTGGAAGGTGATACTGGATTAATCCAAGACCACATTGTTGGAGAAAATAAGAGATTAAGCTACAATATGAAGTAATTGTTCACAAGAACAAAATAATTGGCAGAGGAATTATGAGATTTTTTCATAATATGGGAAAGAATACAAAGATTTTGTATTTATGATTTGTCTAACTTATAAGGAGGTTAAACAACCTAACTAAATTGGACAGAAGAGCCAAATATATATAGGGAATAATACTACATGAAGTAGAATGTCCAAAAATTTTCTTATCTTGACCTCTTTAAATTCAACACAAATTTCAACTCTCAATAAGACTGTCAAATAAAACTTCAACTAGAATTTGTCAAATAAATTTTAAATAGAATTTCAAAAGCATTCCAAAATTGAATTTATCTTGATGTGCAGTTCAATTAGAACTCTTCAATTACTTCAACAAAGAATTCAGATCACCACCCAAATTCTAACGCCAACGATTTAGTAGGTTGAGAAAAGTATGGCCAAAATTATGTTACATCAAAAATCACCCATAATCAAGGCCTAAAAGTTAACTTGCGCAGTTTTTCACTTTATATAAGCAATACTAGGTACTATAAAAATCGATTTAAAAAAACTTTTATGCTGGCCTTAAGGGTTTGGTTGAGGGATTTTTTTATTTTTTTTTTTATTTATTTATTTATTTTTTTTTTTTTTACGCAAGAACATGTTCCAGCTATCACTAATTTATGTATGAGTTTCTTATACATCAAGGTTGCATTTGGTGAACCATATTAGACTGGATAATATTTAATCCTATCTGGTGTTAGATGCCATAACACCATGATTAAATTAATCCTGTCAACTTCTGCCATGCCATGTTGACCAGATAAAAAAAATCCATTGTAGGGATATGGGTTAATAGAATATTCAAACACACTCACAATCATCATAATTCATTCCAATTCTTTTTATTAGGTGCAAAAAGAAAAATAAGAATCAAAAAACACAAATCAAAAGTCTAAATGAAAAACTAGCACACATAAATTATCTTATAAGTTAATAAATAAGTTGTGAAGTGAATATTTATTATTAATTAAAAATTAAAAATCTGGTAGGAGTTCCTTCTAAGAAAAGTAGTTTTTTGTTAAAGGATTTTTATCTTCGAAACCCATTGGAAGGGGCAGTGCAAGAGAAAGAGTTGTTCCCTGCATTCCTTCCTTTCCAAAAATAGTAATTAGGCACAAAAGATTTGATTGAATGAATGCCACCTTGTTTTTGTTTTTATTTTTGTTTGAAACTAACATAAGAATTTATAGAAAGCAATTTATTACTTAAATTAACCATATATAATATTGTAGAAAAAAAAGTTACTTTAAAGTAACTTTACTCTTTGTTAAGCTTAGACAAAAATATTGTTAGAAATTATTTATTTTTCAATATTTGCCTTTTTTTTTATTATGGAGTGGCACAATATCACATTATAACAATACAATATAATCCTCATTCGTATAATTCTTCCTAATCGTATTTGCCTTAAACCAATGTGTTGTACCAAACGCACCACAAAAGTACACAAGAAGTTTTGATATCTCGTCCAACGCAAGCAAGCTTTTAATTGGACATACGTGTAATGTGTCTCAAATTAAAATATTGCAAGTCTGAAAGTTTATTTTTTGTATGAAGGGATCTAATTTGGCAATTTGCGCCTCTCTTACGTGTAATGTGTCTCAAATTAAAATATTGCAAGTCTGAAAGTTTATTTTTTGTATGAAGGGATCTAATTTGGCAATTTGCGCCTCTCTATCATTATGCCATTCTCATTTCTTATGCCTTTGAGCATGTTTGGCTAAGCTTAAAATTTTACTAGTAATAAATTTTTTATTGATCAAAATTGAAATTGAGTTACTCCTTTTGACTGTTGTTAAGATTTACCTTAAAAAATAAGTAACCTTTTTTTCACTTAAAATGTGAAAAAGGTAGTTTTATTTTTTATTTTATTTTATAAACACCTGAGTTCTCACGTTAAACAGAGTTGCTAACATCAAACCTGCATATTTAAATATACACTTGAGAAATTGATCTTTTCTTGCAGAAGCTTAAAGATTTCTTGATTTTTGTTGGGCATACATATAATTGCAGGTCGACTATGAGATGGCACTGGAATATGCGACGCAGGCTGGAGTGAACGAGGAACCGAGAGAGGATGTATACATACAGCCTTTGGAGGCTGTAGATAAATTCACTGATTTTGTTAGTCCTATCTTTGTCTTCAGATTCATGCATTAGGTACTGACTCCTATATTGTTATTGTAGTGATTTTTTTCTACTTGTCATTCAATGGTACAATTTTGTATGAATCTTATGAGGAATGGTACAAGTCCCAAGTCGAACGTACTAATGTATAATATTTCAGAGCGCAAATGATGTTCTTCGTTATAATAGCAGATGTTATAAAATGACAAATATATTTTCCGATAATTATGCAAATATTTCTTTTTTGCAACCCTTGTGCAGCATGCCCCCCTTTCCCTCATTATATTCAATGATGGTATTCTTAGGCTGTAAAGTGGGTTGAACTGTTGAGATCCAACTTGGTCCAACCCAATTTCTTTACGGGCATGTTGGGCTGGATCCTCACAGCCCTTGGCCCAACGTGGCCGTGTTGGACAATGGATTTGTTTGGCGTACCCGCCTAGAGGCACAAGTGTACTAAACTACTGCAATTGCACACTATTTTTTGATTCATAATTCTTAGCTTAGAGCCTGAGAGGCTGTATGTAGTACTTAAACTTTCTTTTACAATACAAAGATTCAACTTGCTTACTCTCACTTGACGAACTCTGATAGTATGTTGAGAAGGATTATAATTTTGTATTACTATTAAGATATGGTATTTGGGTAAATGTCTACTCGATTCTCCCCTAGATCAAATAAATACTTGACCTTACTTGATCCTATAAAAGACATTTACGTGCAATAATAATTTATTCTTTTTAAACAAATAAAATTTTTATTAACGTTTTTGTTTTTCACTTGTTATTCTTCACACTTCTATGCAATTCGTGTGCAAGGCTAGACTTACTTTCGTTTCTTTCCAAAATTGTTGTGAGAAAGGAAAAAATTTCCATCTTTAAACAAGAAACTAACTTTTATTTGTAAAGAATTTGATTAATAAAATATTACATTTTAAGAATTGTTTTAAAACAGTGTTATTTTTCGTCTTTCTCGCACTAATCCGGTGTTACACGTTTCCTCTTCAAGAAAATCGCATTTTCAGTGTTCTAATTTTATCGTTTTACTCCAAACAGAAAAATCAGTGCTAAAATTTTTAGAATTAGGTTCGGCTTTATCAGATTTACGACTAACAAGTTGCTTCAGTTGAGCATCTGCATCAAATCCCACAGATTCTGAGATTTTCCAATGGCTGCACGACCCCAGATTGCCATACTTGGAGCTGGAATTTTTGTTAGAAATTCATACATTCCAAGGTTGGCTGAGATCTCTGATCTCTTCATTCTTAGAGCCATTTGGAGCCGCTCCGAGGTAACAAAAAAATTCTATTTTTTTATTTCACATTACTTTGTTTTCTCAATTTTCTTGAAATGTCATGTATCTGGGTTAGAAAATTTGGATCTTGATTACATACTTTTCTTTCATTTTTTTTGGCAATTAAATTAAAACATCTGATTTATGGATGGTGGGCCTTTTTTGTTTTCTCCTGTACTATATAAAGTTTGAAATTGACCTGGGAAGAAAATATAGGCCCTGTTAAACATTTCTCAATAAAATAATTTTACATTAAAATTCAAAACTTTTCGTTACCACACATTTTCCCGTCATTACGCTATTTAAAATTGTATTTTTATGAAAATAAAGTGGCTCAAACAGTGGCATAATATGGGTTAGCAAAAATAAAATATTTTTCTCTTTTCTTTATTCTATTTACTGGAATTAAAAGTGGGTTTGATGAGGATATAAAAGTTATTTGGGCTATGTGTTTGTTAGGAATCGGCAAAAGGTGCTGTTGAGATTGCTAAGAAGTTCTTTCCAGAGGTGGAATGTAAGTGGGGTGAGGCCGGACTTGATGACATTATTCAAGATGCTTCTATAATTGGTGTGGCCGTCGTTCTTGCTGGGCAAACTCAGGCATCTTTCTTTCTCTGTGTGCGCATAAATTTGTTTTTATGCAGATAAAAATGTTGATTATCCTCAACCACTAGAAATTATCTGAAATATTCGGTGCTTGAGTGTCTTTCTATCAAAAGTTGAAAATTTGGAGAGAGGTCTCATATATCAAATGTTCATGGACGTGCAAAAATCTAATCCTTGTGGTATGCTGTGAAGCCTGAATACTGATTGTTTCTTTTTCAACTGTGAAATATACACGAGCTGAACATATGTATGTAGTCCAATAACCATTTTTAGTTTCTCAAAATAAATGGCTCGTGGAGTTGTAGATATATCCACAGCAGTATAGGCTATATTCTGTATCCTATTTTGTGGGATTATTGCTTTTGTTGGTGCTCAGAAATGCAATATTTCAAATTTTGATTGAAATCTTTGACTAAGAAAAGATAAGTGATACTATGGTTGATGATAAATTGGTTGCTAAACTAAGCAATCATATCCCAAAGTTTGATTCCCTTGAGGATTATGTACCTGCTGCGGACATCCTTTGTGGGCCGTTTGTTTTGGCCATTTATTTATATTTTATGTCCATTTATTTAGGCTTTATGTTTTATTGGGCTTATAAATGGGTTTGGCCCAAGCCCCTTAACTAGGTTTATTGTTTTGCTTTTTATATGGTTGTAACGGGAACTTCCAAAGACAGTTGATGAATGAAAATTTTTCACGTTGGCTTGTTGCCCACTTTCCTTCCCCCTTCTTCCCTCTCTCTTTTACGTGCTCCCTCTCTTCTTCTTTTCCTTCCTATGGTTGTGATTCTGTTATTCAGCTTCTTGCTTTCTAATTGATTCTACTTCAAATTTGGTACCAGAATTAAAACTTGGTTTCTTTCATCAAGGTTCTTGTTAACTGATGTTGGGACACTTGCAGATAAACAAAATTGGGAACTATTGATGTCTTTCTCCACCTCTTCCCATAAGAGTAATATTCATCTACCAATAAAACTTATTGTTATACCAACTTTTGTAATATTCCCAAATTGCTAGATGCAGCCTACAACTCCTACCACGTCCCAGCTCGCCGCTGCCTTTTCTACACCTGTTTAAACCTCTGCAACGCCACACTCTCAATGACCAATACACAGTCAACAGCCTACATTAGACCACCAAAACCTATACCAAGTAGTAACCACCTTCTCCGCAACTGCCAACCCCCACAACCAACAATCGACCTAACACACTATCCCATAACCCACTTCAGTATCCGACAATATCACAACCCACATACACAAACCCACCAATAATACAGCCATCACAGGAACCAAGAACCATCTCCTTCTCCAATATCAAGCCACTCGTGAAACCCCGGAACACCTACCCTGCGATCGCCGCCTCCACTCGTGACACCCAAGGACTCCAACTGTCGGTCATCCTCAAAGCACCGACACCCATAATCACCGCAGCTATCGACAACTCATCTCAACTCAACCCACAATTTTCTCCAGATCACGTGGATATGGTTGGAAGGAATTGGCTAGAGATTATAATGGGTATTTGATTTTCAATTTGGGTTGTGCCTTAGTATTGTGGACTTGGTATTGTGAGCTTGGGGTTATGCACTATATTTCATTTCTTTACATAAAAGTGTAGTTCGATTGTGTTAAAAAAAAAAATGAAAAGAAAAGAAAACAAAAAAGAAAAGGGTAAAAAAAATTGTTATTTCTAACATTATTTTACAGGTATCTCTTTATTTTTGATTGATTGACACATCATCTCAATGAATCACAGGGAGTCAACGTTTCTACCTATCTTTGGGATTTGTACTACTATTTTGTTAAAAGAGTGTCAATTAATTTCAACGTCTCACTGTAATCCTAGTATGTTATCAAAAGCACCTTGACCGGATTCTTTAAATGTGTTTATTCTCCATTTTTACCCCACTTATTTTACTCGATTAAGTTGTTGACTAGTATTTGATCCTTACTTTGTTATTTTACATAGATTAGCAGTATTAGCTTGCCATATTTAGATTTTACATAATCCCATAAAAAATTAATATTTAAATGCTCAAGTTGTTATTCTCTTTCTTGAACAAGTTGTTTATTGATCTCTCCATACGTTTCATTTAGTTGGTGTTACATTGCATACAGTTGTGTAGTGGTCATATTGTCATATCTAGCTCCAATACTTTGACCATGGAACCTTCCCAATTTGATGTCCTCACCCGATAATCAGCTCAACTATAGGCTCAATTAGCGACTGTCCAAATTGAGGCAACTGCTACTCGTAAAGACAGTAGAGACCTAACTGCTAGGATAAACTAGAACAAACCCCTCCCTTGACAGACACTAATAATTCTGAAGCGTTCCATAATATACCCTATTGTCATCAACCTGGTGGTCGATAGCACGTTCAATGTAATTGAAGGAATGGGAAACAGGATCGTGAGAGTGAACAAGGCCGTGATCGTTAATGTACTCATTCGCCTCCTCACCAAGAGGAGCATTACTTTCAAAACATCAAATTAGACGCTCCTACTTTCGATGACTGCTCAGATCTTAGAGTTTTACTCAATGGATTAGAGACATGGATCTTTTCTTGTCATTGTATGGAGTCTCAGAGGATTGAAGAGTTCAATTTGCCAATCTGAAATTATCTAGCACTGCCCAACTCTTTTAGGAAAGCGTTAAGGTTATTTAGGCTACTTTTTAGTGTGATTTTTCAGTATTATACAGCTTATCAGATTTCAGAATTTAGTTTATTCGGGTTAGGCCCGAGCCCCTTAACTAGGTTTATTGTTTCGTTATTTAAAAGGCTGTAATGAGAACCTATGATGCTCGGACTTGAATACAGGTATGTATCTAAGTGTCGGATTTTTTATAAAATTTTCTACAGTGTAGGATATGGGTACATGATTAGAAATAGTCCAAATTTCGAACACGGGTACATGAGTACGCCTTTCAAATATCAATTTTTTTATTAATTCAAGATGTCATTTTAAATAGACAAAAGTCAATTATTCACAAAGAAGAAAATATGTATTGAATAAGAGGTCAAAATAAATAAAATAGATTTTGGGGTTTAGTTTACAATTATAATAATTATTAAATGTTATATATAAAATAGAAAATGAGGGACTTGATTGTAATTTGAACTTAGTGGAGCACTAAATAGTACTATATGGAACCCATTATCATTTTATACAAATAAAACCTTAAACCACCGATATGGAGAGGGAAATAAGGAAAAAAGAAGAAAATGGAAAGAAAGAAAAAAGAAGAAGAAAAAGAAGGGAAAACATAGTGTCGTTGCCTTCTCCACTCTCTTAATGGCGATGCTAGGTTTATAGAGGGCAGAAACGGGAAAGAAGAAAAGGTAAAGAAAAGGAAAGGAAAAAAAAGAAAGAAAAAGAAAGAAGAAAAAACGACTAAGTGTCCGTTGTTGAAATTTGGAAGATCCGACACATATCCCATACCCATGTCGTGTCGAGTTCGACATGGGTACTTCGACTATTTCGAAGAGTTCGAGCATCAAAGATGGAAACTTCCAAAGACAGTTGATGAATGAAAGTTATTCACGTTGACTTGTTGCCCACTTTTCCTCTCCTGTCTTTCCTCTTTCTGTCCCTCTTCTCCCTCTTTCTACTCCATGTACTCCCTCTCTTCTTCTTCTCTTCTTCCCCTGGCTGTGATTTTGTTATTCGGCTTCTTGCTTCCTGATTGATTCTACATCAGTAACCGTTGCACTCTGGTTGAAATTTTTATTTTTATTATTATTATTATTTTTCATGAGTAGACTCCAACAAATTATTCCGAATGAGATAGATATTTACTTCACTTAATAATTATTATGCAATTTACGTCGCCTTTCACAATTGAACCATTTTATGCAGGTGGATATGTCTCTGAGGCTGCTGAAGGCCGGAAAACATGTCCTTCAAGGTAATTCCATATGAAGTTAACATAAAGACAAGGCCATATTTTCTCAGTAATTCATGAAGCTAGAGCGAGTTCACACAAATGTAGTATGCTTTCAATGGATAAAAAGTTACAGTTTATTCACTGTAAAATTTCTTTCAATGCGAATCTAGTCTTTGTTAAACTATAGCTGTTATTGTTTATATGAGGTAAATTAACCATATATCGTTTTGTGCATGTCGTACTCGGATGAATCCTGGTTCTAAAGAGAAACCTGCTGCAGCTTGTAAGTAAGATATATTTCGGATTTATGTGATTGCAAAGGTTTTTTTATGTGTTAACTTACATTTTGAGAGATATCCATGGTTCTTCACTTTTTAATTTATTTCATATTCAGCTAGGACGGTGTTGACCCTAAGCTTTTCTTATTTTGGACGTTAAAAAAACCCAGTGGGAAACAAGTCATTATTGGAGTTGCAGTTGGACCCATCATTAGTCCTCAACTTTTCTGCAGTCAACAGAAAAAAAGAGGAAGAAAAAGTTCAAGAAGAAAATAAAGTTATATGTTGCCATTACATGGCTAAACTCATGCCTAACTTCACTTTTGTATCTTTCAATGGAAATTGACTCTATTTACGTTCATTTTTGCTCATCTTTTAATTTGCATCTTGGTTTTCTTTCCTTTAAAAGTTTTACAGTCCTGGAACTGCAGTTTCACGTGCTACAAATTTTAATTGTGTGCGCATCAGCACATCTTGGTTCATTATTTGATTAGTTCTCTGTTTATGTTTTTTTGGGGTCGTGTGAATGATGTATGTTGGAAACTCATTCAGCAATAAATGAGGTGGAAACTGCGTTGTCATCTTATAATTCCCTTAGCACCACCCTTCCTAGTCCACCTATTTGGGCGATTGCAGAAAATTATCGTTTTGAACCTGCTTTTTTGGAGGTATTTCTAAATATTTTTTTCGTTTTACTTGATATAAATTTTTTATATGGTGCTTGTTACACACGACATTCTTTGTCATAGAGCAAGAAAATGATGGCTGAAATTGGAGAGGTGATGAATGTTCAAGTCATTATTGAAGGTTCTATGAATAGTTCAAATCCTTACTTCTCAAGTTATTGGAGACGTGACTTTACTGTGAGTACCATTTTCCACAGTCCAATTAGCTTGTCTGCTAACCAGCTAACCAATGAAAAAATATTATTTGGAAATTTTACTATAATGGATATGCTTAATCATTTGAGTAATGTTAAATATATCACTAGTGGTGTATTTTCATTGACTTTACATTGTGATTCCAATTAAATGGATTCCACAATTTTTCATGTGATTAATTTTAATTGTACTTATCATGTAATGACAACTAGGTTTTCTGGCACCGTTGGTGATAATAGCATTATTCGAATCATTTAGAGTTTTGTACATACTATTGGACAAATCTGGACAATACAATATACAGGAGTTTAACTTTCTCTCCTTCCTTCAAAATGTCCAATTTTGTACCATCCACAATCTTGGACAAGGTGTTAAAGTCAAGTGTTCATTTCTAGTGACACACAGATATACTTCTTCTGAATCAGCTGAACATGCGGACAAAGTTAGCTTTAATGAGATATTAATCCCATAAATTCTTTATCTTGTTTTCTGCGAACCAACAACCACCTGTGAAAAATATCCATATGTATATAAATTGCCAGGTCACTTGAGGTCAAGTGTTAATTTCTGTTGACATACAGATGTACTTTTGTATCAGCTTAACATGCTGACGAAGGAGACGTGTAATGCAATATTATTCCTATAAATTGTAACGGGGAGTATGATTTATTTTTATATTTTATGTTAAACAACTTTTCTTCGCTTCCAGTTCAATTGGCCGAACCAGCAAGCTTTTATGGTAATGCTCTGAAATGTTCCATTTTCGCAGGGGGGTTTCATTCTAGATATGGGGGTACATTTCATTGCAGGATTGAGAATGGTAAGTAATCTATCTTCTTTTTAATTTGAACATATTTTGTGGTTTCTTTGGCAACCATACGAACTTTTATGCTTGGACTAGCATAATTCAGGCACAAGAGCTAGCATCTTGATCTTCTACCTTCCGCTGCATTACCATTTAAGTATCTGAAATTTCAACTACTACAAGAAATTAATTTTTGAGTTCATATCTCAAAGCGTCATTCCTCGGATTCATTTTACCTATTAAATTTATGTCTATTCTTCATAGAGAGGAAATGCAAAAGAAATTGGAGTGCTACTCTCTCTCTCACTCTCTCTCTCCCGCTCTCTCTCACACACAAACAGAGTTGAATTTGCATTTGAAAAGTAAACAATCGTTAGTATGACATGAGAGTCAAAGTAGAGACACTCTAGATATTAGTTCTCAAAGTTCTTTAAAGAAATTAACCATATATCGTTTTGTGCATGTCGTACTCGGATGAATCCTGGTTCTAAAGAGAAACCTGCTGCAGCTTGTAAGTAAGATATATTTCGGATTTATGTGATTGCAAAGGTTTTTTTATGTGTTAACTTACATTTTGAGAGATATCCATGGTTCTTCACTTTTTAATTTATTTCATATTCAGCTAGGACGGTGTTGACCCTAAGCTTTTCTTATTTTGGACGTTAAAAAAACCCAGTGGGAAACAAGTCATTATTGGAGTTGCAGTTGGACCCATCATTAGTCCTCAACTTTTCTGCAGTCAACAGAAAAAAAGAGGAAGAAAAAGTTCAAGAAGAAAATAAAGTTATATGTTGCCATTACATGGCTAAACTCATGCCTAACTTCACTTTTGTATCTTTCAATGGAAATTGACTCTATTTACGTTCATTTTTGCTCATCTTTTAATTTGCATCTTGGTTTTCTTTCCTTTAAAAGTTTTACAGTCCTGGAACTGCAGTTTCACGTGCTACAAATTTTAATTGTGTGCGCATCAGCACATCTTGGTTCATTATTTGATTAGTTCTCTGTTTATGTTTTTTTGGGGTCGTGTGAATGATGTATGTTGGAAACTCATTCAGCAATAAATGAGGTGGAAACTGCGTTGTCATCTTATAATTCCCTTAGCACCACCCTTCCTAGTCCACCTATTTGGGCGATTGCAGAAAATTATCGTTTTGAACCTGCTTTTTTGGAGGTATTTCTAAATATTTTTTTCGTTTTACTTGATATAAATTTTTTATATGGTGCTTGTTACACACGACATTCTTTGTCATAGAGCAAGAAAATGATGGCTGAAATTGGAGAGGTGATGAATGTTCAAGTCATTATTGAAGGTTCTATGAATAGTTCAAATCCTTACTTCTCAAGTTATTGGAGACGTGACTTTACTGTGAGTACCATTTTCCACAGTCCAATTAGCTTGTCTGCTAACCAGCTAACCAATGAAAAAATATTATTTGGAAATTTTACTATAATGGATATGCTTAATCATTTGAGTAATGTTAAATATATAACTAGTGGTGTATTTTCATTGACTTTACATTGTGATTCCAATTAAATGGATTCCACAATTTTTCATGTGATTAATTTTAATTGTACTTATCATGTAATGACAACTAGCTGTTCTGGCACCGTTGGTGATAATAGCATTATTCGAATCATTTAGAGTTTTGTACATACTATTGGACAAATCTGGACAATACGATATACAGGAGTTTAACTTTCTCTCCTTCCTTCAAAATGTCCAATTTTGTACCATCCACAATCTTGGACAAGGTGATAAAGTCAAGTGTTCATTTCTAGTGACACACTGATATACTTCTTCTGAATCAGCTGAACATGCGGACAAAGTTAGCTTTAATGAGATATTAATCCCATAAATTCTTTATCTTGTTTTCTGCGAACCAACAACCACCTGTGAAAAATATCTATATGTATATAAATTGCCAGGTCACTTGAGGTCAAGTGTTAATTTCTGTTGACATACAGATGTACTTTTGTATCAGCTTAACATGCTGACGAAGGAGACGTGTAATGCAATATTATTCCTATAAATTGTGAGGGGGAGTATGATTTATTTTTATATTTTATGTTAAACAACTTTTCTTCGCTTCCAGTTCAATTGGCCGAACCAGCAAGCTTTTATGGTAATGCTCTGAAATGTTCCATTTTTGCAGGGGGGTTTCATTCTAGATATGGGGGTACATTTCATTGCAGGATTGAGAATGGTAAGTAATCTATCTTCTTTTTAATTTGAACATATTTTGTGGTTTCTTTGGCAACCATACGAACTTTTATGCTTGGACTAGCATAATTCAGGCACAAGAGCTAGCATCTTGATCTTCTACCTTCCGCTGCATTACCATTTAAGTATCTGAAATTTCAACTACTACAAGAAATTAATTTTTGAGTTCATATCTCAAAGCGTCATTCCTCGGATTCATTTTACCTATTAAATTTATGTCTATTCTTCATAGAGAGGAAATGCAAAAGAAATTGGCATTGCAGGATTGAGAATGGTAAGTAATCTATCTTCTTTTTAATTTGAACATATTTTGTGGTTTCTTTGGCAACCATACGAACTTTTATGCTTGGACTAGCATAATTCAGGCACAAGAGCTAGCATCTTGATCTTCTACCTTCCGCTGCATTACCATTTAAGTATCTGAAATTTCAACTACCACAAGAAATTAATTTTTGAGTTCATATCTCAAAGCGTCATTCCTCGGATTCATTTTACCTATTAAATTTATGTCTATTGTTCATAGAGAGGAAATGCAAAAGAAATTGGCAGTGCTACTCTCTCTCTCACTCTCTCTCTCCCGCTCTCTCTCACACACAAACAGAGTTGAATTTGCATTTGAAAAGTAAACAATCGTTAGTATGACATGAGAGTCAAAGTAGAGACACTCTAGATATTAGTTCTCAAAGTTCTTTAAAGCACATAAGATTTCTCTTTTGGTTGATGACACTGCTGTTCTTGGAATATAATGGATTAATTTACATCTAAACAGGCTTACCGATGAAGAGAATTTAGGTGAGGTGGTTCAACATGATGGTGACAAAGGTCCCTGAGTTCAAGTTTTTCCACCAACTATATAACAATTGTGCACCTGACAAGCCTTTAAAAAAATAAATCAGGCTTGCACTTAAGGGGGCATACATTGAATATGAGATACAGTTGAATAAATGTATAATTTTTCTAACAGTTTAAACTTGTAGATGAAGTCGTTAAACACCTACATTGTTAATTCTTCATTGCTAATGTGTTTCTAGCCGTATATTTTGGCTTTGATTTACTTCTTTCTGCTCTTGCAAATCTAAAGATGGTTGGGTGTGAGATAACATCGGTGTCAGCCAATACCTCTCACATAGATACAACTTTGCCACCTCCAGATATTATCTCCTCAACTATGTAAGAATATTAACCATAAGATTTGACTTATTAGTAATCTCTTTTGTCAGAATTAGACTTTGACATATTCTTTTTGTGAATTTTTTTTTGTTTCCTTTAGTCAACTGGAGAATGGGTGTTCAGGTGTTTTTGTGATGGTGGTATCATCGAGATCTCCCAAGGTATGAAGTCGATAGAATGTCTTTTAACATCTTCCGGCAGGCCTATGTTTGGCTAAGCTTAGAAAGTTTACTTATGTTTTCGAAATAAATAATTTTTTTTATGGGTGAAAATTGGAAATAACCAAGTGGCTTATTTTGATATTATGGTAAGAGTTACTTTCAAAATATGTAACTCATTTTTTATAATCATTATTTTTATTTTTTAACTTAAGGAAAGGCAACATTAAACCAACATGTTTGGAGACAGAAGGTAAGAGCTTGTTTGGTTTGTGTTTCAGTTTTCAATTTTGAGTTTATTTTTAGTTTCTGTTTTGAGAGTCTATTTTAAGATTTTTAAAAATACATACGTTTTGTAATTTTGAAAAATTGTTCTGAAAATAGAAAACTAGAAAACACTTTTAATTTGAAATTTTGAAAAATTATTTTATGACAGTTTATTCCATGAAATTTGATCATTGAGTAAAATAAAATAATTTTATGTTAAAATATTATAAATCATATATACATTTTAAAGTTGGTAAATTTTACCATATTTTTTCCTCACTATAAAAATAAAAATTAAAAATAATAAATTGAGTTGGCTAAATATATGAAATAAAATGAAAAATTAATGATTTGGATTCAGAATATTTTTATCTGTGTTCATATATATATATATATGTGTATGTGTATGTGTATGTGTATGTATGTAGTTTTTAATTTTTAGAATTTTATTTAAACGATTGTTATCCATGTTTTGAGTGTTTTCAGAACTTAAAAAATGCATTTTAAGTTTTATGTTATATAAGTTTAACCTTGTTTTCCAAAATGTATTTTTTGAAATATTAGATCAAACAAGTTTTGGATGTTTTGCAAAATTGAAAACTAAAAACAGCTTGAAAATAGCAAATCAAATGCTCCCTAACTTTCCTTTTTATGTTTAAGCTTAGCAAAATATGCTTTAAGTTGTCTATGGGATAATATAAATAAGGATGCCTACAACACTTGCATCAGATAGATTGTTTGATTCCTATAGGTACTCTGGCGAGTTGTGGGCTTAAAAGGAACAATACAGGTCGAACGAGGAAACAAAGAAGGGAAGCATGGTTACTCGGTAAATGTCTTCTATAATCTCCTAAAATTTTGAAAACAATCTATTCTAGAGTTGGTTATATGATAAATCAAAATTGTTGTCGTAGGTTACTCTTTTTACTGCTGGTGGGCAAAGCAATAGCTGGTTCTACCCATTTTGTGGTGTGACTGAAGAGCTCAAGACTTTTCTATCTGATATTTCAACGGTAACCCTTAAGGTCGTTCCCTCTCCAAGTAATTTTATTTGAAATTCTAGTATGTGAAAGATAGATACTACAAAAGTTAATTAGCATGCTAGTTGAGTTGGTTTAACCTCTGCATTTATCCTGTTCTCAGTACTTTCACTTTTACCTAGCAATCTCCCTTTCGGGGTAGGGAAACATTTTTCTTCGTTAAATATATTATTTTGATCCAGTAACAAAAATAACTGCCATTAATATTCGTAAAACTATACCTATAAAAATTTGGGAAGGTGGTATTGTTCCCCAACATGTTGTCTAAGTAGTAGTTAGCCTCCAACCTTTAAAAATGAGCGGGTTGATCGTCAGCCTTTCATTATAGTCTCAAATTTAGTTCTCAAAGGCGAAATGTTTAAATCTGTGTTGACCATCATGCGACCTTCGCACATCCAACTTTATGAAGGAAAAAACTTGTTTCCCAACTTGGGCTGGTGCCTAGAGGCATATTTTCATGAGTGTTACTTGACTATTTGGCTGAAATTTGGAGCCCGCCTTCGATTTTCCCTTAAATTACCTGTAAAAACTTAATTATTTTTTAATAAAGTAACATTTTCTTCTTCTTGTAATGTTAAATATGTCTATTTATGATATAATCTGTGTTCCTCGTTCCTTTTCTCACTTGATGTGCGTATGCACGTATCGCTTGTTCATTTCATCGATTAACAGAAAAATCAAAGCTACCAAGCTGAGCCTCGCCTCTCGTACCTCGAAGGTGCCCGGGATATTGCTGTTTTAGATGCAATGCTTGAATCTGGGAAGAGACAAGGAGCACCGGTCCAAGTAAAAATGTTTTAGCTTCACCTTCTCAAGTTCAACTGTTCATGTATGATGCAGTGAAGAATTAGTACGGCACCTCTATTCTGGGAAAAGGCCTGCCCAGATAAGCTATTAAAGGAGGGAGTTGGGGCAGAAATAATGGATTTGGCTTATGATTAAGGAACACATTAATGAAGATAGTTTATGTTATTATATGATTTTGTCGGAATTGATTCAGATTTAGGAATTTACTTTTTATTGTGTTACATTGATCAAATAATGCATGTACTTATGCTGAATAATAGCAATAAGAAAGAAAAATTGCATCCACGAGCACTTGGAGAACCAAGTCGCCACACCGATCGCAAATAGTCCTGCCTTTTTATTTTTTATTTTATTTTTTGAGGATGGGGCAATCCACAGTCGCTACTTTTTGGGTGTGCATTGGGTAAATCCTCGGACTGGCGCAATATCCTGCAAACCATGCTAATCAGGTAAATCGCACTAGGCAAGTCCTCTGTGACAAACTGGGCTCTTCATAGGTTTTATGGCGCGTTGTCCTTCATTCCATCCATCCCCTCCCTAGTAGATCAAGGCATTTAACTTTTTCATGTCGGTCAAGCTTTGTTAATTCCCAAAAGAGCGCTGTGTCCAGCCTGGGCCCTCGATGCTGAGGTGTACGCCATACACCTTGGCATACTTGCTACACATTTTGTCATCACAATTTTTCCATTTTCAAGTGTCATTGGTAGACTATCTACAAAGATTATTATAGGGTTTACGCCATATCCAATGACATTAAAAAATTTTAGAAGATAAGATATCAAGTGGATTAGAAGAAAATAACTTGGTTTTTCTTAACCAACCAAACCTAACAGCATTTATTTCTCATAATTTTTCTATCTGCCAATGGAAAGTGACAATTCCTTCATAAGAACGTATAGACTACTTAAGAGGGAATAAAACTACACGCTATCGATTGAGTCGAGTGGTTGCTTTTGGACCCATTGAAAGCTTTTTTCTTTTCAAGAAATTTATGGATATGGACCAATTGAAAAACCATTCATGAAAATGAAACTAGTCTTCTTTATTTTTATTTTTTTCCGGGATTTTCGGCATCGTATGAGAAACTTTTGGAATGTTAAAAAATTATTCGGATCTGTCTTGTGAGCGAGTATGCTTTTCTCGACTTGCATTCCTATGAGAGATTGTGAAAAGGGAAAGAGAACTTTTAAAGGGCATTTATTCATTAAGGTCAAAATTACTCGTTTAGGATTTATTTGATCAAAATAGCATTATTCTTATTTGAAAGTTTTACAGAATATTTGTTTTGCTCTTAATAAATATTGCTTCTGTCTCCTCTTCTTGTACTTTAGTGCCATTTGAAAAACAAATGAGAAAATAATCATTTTCTTTTTAGATCCCCAAAATCCTTGCCCCTAAAACCTTGAAAGGGGTAAATCGCGGGTTATGCCTCAACTGGATCACAGGTTCCCCCACCGCCTGTACACTTCTGCGCAGAAGAGATTCTCCTCCAAAGTGATTGCTCCATACCAAATAAATCTGGTCACAGGTTCCCACCAAGATTCGAACCTCCACCCTACCGCTGGAAACAAGATAAATGTTGATTGACCCACCAGTTTAACAGTGCCTCGAGGGGCAGAAAATAATCATTTTCAGTAAGGGGGAAGGGGGGCAAAGTGTTAAATCATGAGAAATTTCTTAAAGAAAGAAGGCCTTGAGTAAATAACATTTTTTTTTTTAATTTTCTTAAATTATCCCTTTTAAGAAATTTCCTCAAAAAGGGAGACAAATGAACTCCCTGCCTTAATTTGGTACTTTTAATTGGCAATATATTCTGATCTTTTGCTTTTATTAGGACTATATTTTTTTCTAAAATATATTTAGATTAATTTGTGTATATATCGCGTTGTATCAACGACATGTTTCATCTACATGATTCATTACAACTACATGGTAAAATGTAATTAGTTTCATATAAAATTCTCTAGCTATATGTGCACGAGCTTTTGTAGTTGTCCAAATTATAAGAAAAGTATAAAGTGTAGTATCTCATATTCTCAAATGTGTTAGCATGGCTACACTTTTCCCATATAGTTTGTGATTACATTTTAAAAAATATGTATTTAACATACAAATTGATAATGGATTAAGCGATAATAATAATACTAGCATAATTATGTTCTAAAAATAAAATTTGTAACTGAATATTAAGTTGAAATTAAATCCAAATTAAACAAAATCAATTAGAAAGTTTAAAACTTTTGAAACACAAGTTACCCAAAAAAATAAATAAATATAAATTTGGGTCCCAATTCTTACATGTATCAGAAGCTTTGTAGAAAAGAAGTTCTCTTCTTCATTATTTTAGGATCCATTCAAAGTAATTTTATTTTTATTTTTTATTTTTTATTTTTTATTTTTTATTTTTTATTTTTTATTTTTTATTTTTTATTTTTTAACTAGTTCAGAAGCATTCTCTATGAAATCAAGTTGTTAAGGGTGTTCTTTTTTTGCTTTTCGAATATCAACTTGAACAGAGTTTGAGGCTTATTAATAGGATGTTCGTTGGGGATTAAAATTAGATTTTTTAAGTATATTGTGATAAAAGTTTTTGAAATATGTGGTTAAAAAATTATAGGACCTATAAAAGATTTGGTTAATATTGATTGTTTGACTTTAATTTAGATTAAAATCATATTTTAATCTAAGCCAAACATGCACTAAGGGTGTCATCTAACAATTTTTTTACATATAACAAATCTGATGTATACTCGACGCGCATTAACAAAGAAAATACGACTTTAAATATTTTTCTATCGCGCTATTTAGTTCGTCATCTTAAGAAGTCTTAGATCCTTAATAATCACAATATTATGTTTTGATATGACATCTTTCTTTCACACATTGTTCTTACAAATCGATGATGATGAACGAAGTGGGACAACCTAGTCGAACTAATATGTAAGAAGAAGTCCAACCGACTGAACAAAATCAACACGTGCAACTGATGAAATGCTGTAAGAAATAAGATAAGAAAATCGTTGTACTGTAAAAGGTAGAATCAGTAGGTTTTATTCTGATTATCATTGTATCATACCAAGATTCTTAAAGATTGTTTCTTAACAACTCATATAATTATATCCCTATTATTCCAACTTTCACTGCCCATATGCCCTATAAAACTAATGATTGTATTACAAAATCTTGGCATTGATTTTCTAAATATAGTTGTAGCTACTCAAAACAACCCTCATCAGTTTATCTCCTCAGGCAAGTCATCAACCCATCTCCCTCTCTCCCTCTCTCTCTCTCTCTCTCTCACACACACACACACACACACAAACACAGAACATTTGGCACAGATTTTATTTATTTATTATTTTTTTCCATTGGCTGTTTACCGTCATAGAAAGGCAGATTCGGTGTAGTGAGCTGCAGCAGCCCCCAGACCCGCGCCACCCCATGCTGTGTATCAATGTCATGTAAGTTCAAACTGAGATTCTTCCGGTTCTTTTCTCTGATACTTGAAAATTGATCAATAGCATTGACTGTACTGGAGGCTTTGATTGAACATAGTGGATAGTGCACGATACTGAACATTACCCAATAGTACGGTACAATGGACATGCTTACAACTTGTTTTTTCTTTTTCCGATCATCTAATACTTTGTAATATTCTTGTGCAGTTCAAGTACCAACAAGTGATTCTTCTGCAGTTTTAGGGTATTAGAAACTGAATCCTGTTTATCGATCACTCTACCAAGAGAGAACAAAATGCTCAAGTTTCCAGTAAATGAAGAGTTTGCTCTGAAGCCGACGGCCCCAAAAATTGCTGGCTCAGGGGTGATTGTTGGTGGTGATAAGGTAATTTGCGCCTATGATCTTGTTGAACAGATGGAATATCTGTATGTTCGTGTTGTTAAAGCAAAAGAATTACCTGCAAAGGACGTTACTGGTTCTTGTGATCCTTATGTTGAAGTTAAGCTTGGTAACTACAAGGGAGTCACAAAACATTTTGAAAAAAAGTCGAATCCCGAGTGGAATCTTGTCTTCGCTTTTTCCCAGGATCAACTTCAAGCTTCATTTGTTGAAGTGGTTGTGAAAGATAAGGATGTCGTGTTAGACGATTTCATTGGCAGGATTTCCTTTGATCTTATAGATATCCCTAGACGAGTTCCTCCAGATAGTCCTTTGGCACCGCAGTGGTATAAATTGCAAGATAAGAAAGGGGAAAAACTGAAGAAGGGTGAAATTATGCTTGCCCTTTGGAAAGGAACTCAGGCAGATGAGGAGTTTTCAGATGCTTGGCATTCTGATGCAGCAGCAGTCGGGAGCGAGGGCGTTTCAAGAATTCGTGGAAAGGTATATCTTTCTCCGAGGCTATGGTATTTGCGAGTGAATATAATCCAGTGTCAAGATTTGATTTTAAGTGACAAAAGTAGATCTCCTGAAGTTAGTGTGAAGGTCGTTCTTGGAAATCAGGCTTTGAAAACTAAGATTTCTCCTGTGAAGAGTGCGAATCCAGCATGGAATGAGGATTTGGTATTTGTCGTTGCTGAACCATTCGAGGAGCCTTTGATTATAACTGTGGAGGATAGAGTTTCATCGAACAAAGATGAGATCTTAGGAAAGTGTTTAATTTTGTTAAACTCTGTCCCGAGAAGGCTGGATAATAAGCCTGTCGGGGCTAAGTGGCATAATCTTGAGAAACATTTCGTGGAAGGGGAAAAGAAGGAGATTAAATTTGCTAGTAAGATTCATATGAGGATCAGTTTGGATGGTGGTTATCACGTATTGGACGAGTCAACGTCTTATAGCAGCGATTACAGACCGACTTCAAAGCTGCTATGGAAATCCAGCATTGGAATTCTTGAGCTGGGAATTATAAGCGCCATTGGCCTTTCAACAATGAAGACAAAAGATGGCAGGGGAACTATTGATGCATATTGTGTGGCCAAATACGGTCCAAAATGGATCCGGACAAGGACAATCATCGATAGTACATCCCCTAGATGGAATGAACAGTACACATGGGAAGTATTCGATCCATGTACTGTGATTACAATTGGGGTGTTTGATAATGGCCATTTACAAGGAGGAGGAAAGGATGGGTGCATCGGAAAGGTCAGGATTAGGCTATCGACCCTTGAAACAGAACGTGTTTATACACACTCATATCCTCTAATTGTCTTGAAACCTTCCGGTGTGAAAAAGATGGGTGAAGTTCAATTAGCCGTAAGGTTCTCGTGTACGTCTTATGTCAATATGCTACAAAAGTACACGCATCCATTGTTACCGAAAATGCATTATGTTCATCCATTGTCGGTAACTCAGTTGGATATCTT